CTTATTCAGGATGTTTTTTCTGCTCATAATGACAAAAAAATGAGTATAGAAGGAGGTGATAATGCCAAGAGGGCAAGAAATTATCTTTTCATATCTGTCATACTTTTTGCTTAACTGGCTAAGTGCTATGCAGAGTGTTAACTTAGCCCATTAGTATAATAATTTCATTGATACTCTTTGCTCAAAGACTATGTAAAGGAGGAGAAGTACTTGACAGGATTCTTTCCAGGTGCATAAATATATCATCTCATTTCGCCACTCTCTTGCAGTCACTATACTTATTAACATCATTTTAATCTTGTGCTTTTGGAATGAAGGGTTGGGAAATACTCATAAGAAGATGCTAGAGCAGTTTTGGTTCAAACTTTAAGCATGGTTTCTTACTGGCATCTTTAAGGATTCTTAGCAGTTTTGATCTAAAGCCATATTCAGTAAAATGAACATTATGGATTACCAGAGCAGCATGAAAAACTAGAGAAAGAGGTAGAAGTGTGCACTAGTCGATGGATTTAAGATTCAAGTCGAAGATAATGGAAAAGAGGCGTTAAAGCGAAGAAAGTCGAGGTAGAAGTCAATTACCTCATCAAGCTTCAAAGTGGAGAAAGTCAGCATTTTTTAGTACGGAGTACTAAATAAGTGAAAGGATTTATATATAATCTCTACTTTTAGCTCAATGTTCTAGTATAATTATAAGTTATTTAGCTAGTCATTTGTTTTAGTCATCTATTATTTTATATATCCGCACAAGTATGTTAAAAATTTAATTGAGTAGTTTAGTTTTGGCATAAAGTACAATCTTTAGCCTTGAATGTACTGCTTTGTTGATATTTACATTTCAGTACCATATCAAATTACCTTACATAATTTGAATGGTGAAAAATATAATATAATTATATGTTTATCATAAAATGTTGAAAAGTGACGAAAAACTTGTAACTAAAGTAATTCCAATTAACGATGAATGTGTATAAATATGACAAAAATAAGTAACTTAATTTTGTTATCGTCACAATTTAAAACCTAGAAAATCTATCAAGGTTTGTCACTAAATCCTATGTTTTGTTGACAATTTATGATTTTGTCATTTATTATTCGAATTATTAGTGACAAAATACATATTTAGATGACAAAAAAATCGATATAAATGTGACACATTTGGCGTCACGAAAAGTGATTAATAATGATGACGAAGTGCTGAATCGTCATTAAATGTTATTTATTTGGCGACGAATCATAAATTTGTCACATATACCTAATACCACGGAGCTACGGTGACGATCACTGTGACGATCAAAATTCGTCATATAAAAGTTTTAGTGACAAAAAATGAATATTACATGACGAAAAAAATTGTCACATTAGATCAAAATTCTTGTAGTGGAAGGTTTAAATGGACACAAATATGACCATTTTTTAACTTCACAAAAATATGACCAGTCAAATTTCCGCTGCTTTCATCTTCCTTGCAGAACCTGCCCCAACTTACTTCCTCGTCGCTGAACCACCACCGCCCAAATCCACCACCTTCGTCGTCACCCTCCACTCCCCTGCGGATTTCTGTTTCTTCTCTTTCCGCCATCTTCGTCCATGGAGGATTGGTCTCGGATCGTGTGGTCGTAGATGGGTACCGGTGCTTGGTTTTCGTCTACGGCTTCAACTTAGCAGTGGCGATGGTTTCAATTTCGAGATCTGCATTCCCTTCGGTGATGGCGATGGCGGGGGAGCGGCGGCAAAGCTAAATCTGGCCGGCTAGGGATGCGGGTGGTGGTGCGGTGGTTAGAGAGGGGTCTAGGGTTGGCCGCTGTTAAGGATGTTGGGTATGGGGGCTGTGGCATGTTAGGGGAGGGTGTTGGAGCAGTGGCAGTTTAGGGGTGGAGGTTGGGGCTGTGGCAGGTTAGGGGAGGGGGCTGAGGGTGGGGAGTGCCGACTCCGCAGGGCGGCGGCGGCGCCACCGCCTGGGCTGGATGGTGGTCACTGAGTTTGCAGTGCTGGGGTGGCTGGTGGCTACATTGGATTGTTGCGGGAAAAAGTCGTCGGAAATTCTCCGGCGATCACAGCGACACATTTGACCACGATAGTGACATGAGCGGTAACGACAGTGACATGAATAGTGGCTATAATGACACGAACAGTGGCTACAATGACATAGACGATGGCTACAGTGGCGATAGTGACACGAGCGATAGCGACAGTGACACACGCGTTGACGATAGTGACATTTGATAGTGACATTAAAATTGAGCAGTGACATTAAAATCTGATAATAACATGATGAATATGACCTTCTTAGTTAGGGCTGAGCATCGGTCAGGTCCCGATCGGGTGGGTGGGTAAACCCAAGACCCTTCCGGGTTTCGGATGTGTTTTATGGATACCCCACCCTATATTTTTTTTACTTGTATATTTTTAGGTTATTTTCCAATTCGGATAGGGCATGTTCTAATCGGGTATCAGGTTAAGCCGGTTTTATTTTCAAACTATAATTCTGTAAACCAAAGTGGAAATCAACTGAAATTGCAATCCAGATTACCTAATTTACTTAATTACAAGTCATTAAGTAACATCGAGTAGGGAGGGGATCAAAATTGTAACATAGATTTTTAGCATATACTACCTCCGTCCTCCTAAGTTTGGGACAAAGGGGTGTGGTGTGATTTTTAAGAAAAAATAGAATTGTGTGGTTGGTGTTAAATTGATGAAGTGTGAATAAAGTAAGAATGAATTGTAGCCACTCCAATATTACCAAATATGGTATGGGACAAACTTAATGGGACAGACGAAAAAGGTAAAACGGGACACAGTTAGGGGGACGGAGGGAGTATTACTTAATTACAAGTCATTAACATCCAAAGTGGCAAAGTTCCAACTAAGCAAAATTAATACATCCAAATGTTCAATTCCATTTCTCAATCCTCAGCCAATCCAGTCAGGCAGTCAGGCTCCTTTCTTGAACATTTGAAGTTGCACACTTTCATAGCTATTTTCCACACTTTCAAGACTCCACCTGCATATAGGGACATCCATATTGTGATTTTCTTAATTACTAATGCTTATTTTACTTGAATAATACAATGCGCTAAGCAAAAAGGAGACACATAATGCGGGAATTTTGTGATAAAGTACATGACACGGGTCACTTCTGGTGTTAATTTGCTGAAGAAGAATGTGAGTTATCTAACTTTTTCTCTCTTGCTATTGTAATACTACCTCTGTCGCACTATGTTTGGGACAATTTGGTTTACGAGACTTGACCGACGATAAAGCAAATAGATCCCTGCCTGAACCCAAATTATTTTTAGAAAAAATAAATTACATATTCAGAAACTACATTAAAAGATTTACAAAGTCGCAAAAAAGAGAATCAAGTTTGATAAAAAAATTGATATATAAAGTAAGAGATTAAGATTGATTTGTGTTGACCAAGTGAATAGTGTCTGAGACAATCTTAGCGGGACGGAGGGAGTATATAAATAATTAAAATCAGATTCTTTTGTCATTAAAGTTTTGTGTACTGAAGGAGTATTTAGAAGAAGACATTTTACAAGTCTCTGAACAATAGGTTACATATGTTCACTTTACTAGATCAACTGTGAGTTTATATTAAGTGTGTTGTTTATAAGTATGTGTGTAGAATTATAGGTCATGTTGTCTATAGTGGTTCAATGCCTTTGTTGATTTATGTTCTTAATTTTGTTTATAATGTTTGTTTGAACAGAACAAGATGATTTGGTTGGAGTTTCACTTTGGAGTACTGGATTGCTAGAAGTTTGAAGCAAAGCATAAATTTTGCTACTTAGGAATTTATAGCAGCTACAAGTGCTTGATTGTATTATCACGACTTTGTATTTTGGTCAAACATGTAGGCATTATGTAGTGAATTTGCAAGTAAATAGTAAGGATTTATACCGCTACTGGTGGATGAGTTTTTGGTGTGAATGAATATTATGAGATTTTCATATTTTTTGTCTTTATAGTTTTAGGTGTGTGTCTTCAATGATTTGTATATGTTATTCAAACATGCTTAGATTTAATTATATTTATGTTTTATAAAACATACTGATACCATGGTGTTACAAATTATATTGATATCTTGACATCATTTTTGTCTATGATACTAATGTATCATGATTTTTTGTTTCGTTACAGTATCACAAGTAATTGTACTAAACTTAGTGTCACCATTTCCTACCTTCTGCGATGAAAGATATGTGTCACGGAAATTTTCTGCGGCACAAAAATAGTGTCACTATAAGACCCTTTTCTACTTGTGTGGTGTTCACCGTTGAGATGTTTAGAATGTTGGGGAAGAATTAAAAAAAAAACAGATGATGTGTATTCCATCTGATTTCCCCTTGACCTCATTAACTTCATATACTCCGTAGGTAGTATGTTGTTAAAATTGAAATCTATGGTTTTGTGTATCACACATTGGGCACTTAATGTATCACGTAACGTACGAGTAAACAACTAGTACTCCCTCCGTCCCACTAACAATGGAACAAGAGGGAGTGACATACAAATTAATAAAAAGTGATATATATGGTTGATATTGAATTAATAAAGTAAGAATAAAGTAAGAATGATTTTGACTCACACAAACTTTACCAAATAAGGTATGATACAATTAAATAGGAACATGATAAAACGGAACATTTAAAAGGGGACCGAGAGAGTAGGAGCGTCATTCCAAAAAAAATATACTATCCTCCGTTCTCTTTTAATCGCAACATTGGACTTTTTGCACTATTCACATATTCTACTTTGACTATATTTTATTCATTAATGTATTATAAATTAATTTTTTAAAAATATTATTAAATTCTTCTCATTCTAAATTTTCAAAATATGAATTTTCTGAATTTTTTACTAATAAGAAATGAAAAATATTAATGGTCAAACTTGTGCGTTGGCAAACGTGAAATGTTGACTGTTGCAATTAAAAGGGAACGGAGGAAGTACTCCGTAGTAGATACTTCGTATATAGGAGCGTAGTAAGCTGAGGAAATTATATACAGTACGATCGAAATAGGTAGCTATCATCATTCAAGAAAGAAAGATGGGAAGAGCGGAAGGATGGACTAGATTACGCGCAGCCGCCCTATTGTTCAACGCCATATTGTTAGGCGTCGGAAACTGCGGCAACCCTCTTCTCACGCGCCTCTACTTCATCGGCGGCGGCGCCCGGATTTGGTTTTCCACCTGGCAGCAAACCGCCGCTTGGCCAGTCACTTTCATACCTCTTTTCGTCTCCTACATCCACCACCGCCAGCGCCGGAACCGGACAGGTGACTCAGGTGAGTTCCAACACATCACGCCGTTTCTTTTCATCTCCGCCGCCCTCATCGGCCTTCTGATGGGCCTGAACAACTACCTCTTCACGTACGGCGTCGCCAAGCTCCCGGTATCCACGGCGCTTCTGATCGGGAGCGCTCAGCTCGCGTTCACGTCGGTGTTCGCTTTCTTTCTCGTGAAGCAGAAGTTTACGGCATTCACCATAAACGCGATCGTTTTGCTGACGTTATCAGCGGTCGTTTTGGGCGTCCGGGCGGGGAACGACCGCCCGGACGGGGAGCCGAACAAGGAATATATTTTGGGGTTTGTATTGACAGTTGGGTCGGCGGCTTTGATAGGGTTGCTTTTTCCGTTGATTGAGTTGAGTTATAGTAAGGCGAAGAAGGCCAAAATTGAGTATAGTATGGTGCTGGAATTTCAGATGGTTCTATGTTTTGCTGCCACTCTTTTCTGCACGGTTGGAATGTTCATAAACCACGACTTCCAGGTATGTTGCGTTATACTACTTCATCCTAGTTCCAATGTTTTTATTTCGAGCCATTCCGCTCAAGCATATCAAATCATTAAACATAGTGTCCTTTTTTATTGTAATATTTTAAATTTTACACTATTCACATACTCTATTTTAACTACATTCTGTAATATTGTTTTATGAAAAATTATTCTTTTAAAAAAATATTGTTCAATTCATTTCATTACAAATTTTCATAATATGTTTTTATAAATTTTTTTACTAATAAAAAAAATAAATATTTACAGTTAAAGATGTGCATTGACAAGTGTGAAATTTTAAACGTTGTAATTAAAGAAAAAAGAGGAAGTATATAGATAATGATAAAATATTCCAAAACAAATATTTCCAAGTATTATTCTAAAACTAATTAATTAATTATGAACATCTAAACATGTTTATTGTTGTGCAAATGTTCATTTCCAAGTACTTTATACGGAATATATACCAAATTTGAATTGTTATGAGAAATCTAGTCTAACGTGGACTAAAGAGATTAAGAGATTTTAATCAAATTCAAATTTTCTGACGGGTGTTTTAGTGTATTGTGATTTGTTCTGGTAGATACTTATTTTATGTATATTAGATTATTAGGGAGGTAGTATTGGCTATATTTGGTCCACAGTCCACTCTATCTATTTTAATTTAATTTGATGATCTGAAACTTAAATTATGATCTGAAACTTAAATTAGTCGAACTAAAATATGACGGCCGACATCAAATTTCATCGAGACTCAGATTTGCAACTCCATTTATAGTGGAGTAACTTAAACTAAAAAGTTACTCAATAGTGTCATCTTGATATTTTCAAACGCAAAATATGACATTTTTATAAAAACCAAAGAAGAAGAAGAAAGAAGAGAGAGTATAATTTAAGAGGGATCATCAGCATGAAATAAGGAAGAGAATGTGGTCTATATGATGCATTTTAGGGCTTTATAAATATAATGTGAAGCATTTAATTTAGGCGGGTCAAATGACACCTTAACTATTGACAATGTTACATTTTGGTACCTTATAAGTTAACATACTAAAGTGCAACATTATCAATAGTTAAGGTATCATTTATACATTTGACCCCATTTAAGCATTAGTATTGATACTTTAATTTGATTGATTTAAATTCATTAAACTACAACCCATTTATCATTATTAATTCCTTTGTACTTCTTCATGGAAATAAATGGTGTGGTTGGATGTAATTTTCTCAGTTTTATTGTATATCTAAATTTGTTATAAATTCATAGTTAAGGCGATCAAGTACAGACTTCTGCCTTCTAGTATAGATCTATCAACATCAAACACTACTATACCAATACCAATAAGTGCTAGAATAACAACAAAGATTATTGGATCTCCCCAAATCCCAATGCCCACTCATTTTGCAATTTTCTATCGACGCTGTGACGAATGCTGAATACAATTTGTTTTTGTTTTCTAGTTTTGAATTCCTATGTAGAAACATATAAGCGTAATTTGAAATATTTAAATTCTAAACATCTATAGATAATACATTTCAAAGATACAATTATGGAAAGTTTTGCCATGTGTCATCTTCTAAGCAAACAATCATTATAATATTTTTTATTCTCTTTCTATTTTAGAATATTAGTTACTCCGTATTAATTATACGTAAATAGAACTTAGAAGTTTAGTTAGATTAAAACTCAATCATACTGTACACGTTAGTTTAATTTAGGACTAAGTTGGAAGTTAAGTTAGACTAAAATTTATCAATTCATGTTACGTACATTAGTTTAGGAATAATTCATCAATCAATGAATTATATGTCATCTTTTTATGAATTCATGTTCCTATTTGTTTTTTTGTAGAAAAAATTAACTTCATAAAGTTAGAATAATGGAACTATATTACGTAATTCAAAAAATAAAAATAAAAATACAATTATGAATTATGAGAATTTTGTTATATTCGATTATAATTCATCAACGTTCTATACATTATTCATGTAAAATTTTCTCGATATCTATGTATCATATCAAATATTTATCATACCAGACCAGATCAGATCATATTATATATAATCAAACTTGAAAATTCCAGTTCTGTTAAAAACATCTTTAAAGGAGTCCTTTCTAAAATTTAGAACTTCATATTAGATTAGAATTTATCTATCGAAACATTCTACTCATTCTAATGTCATGATATAATACTAATAAGAGTAATAAATATGTTTTTAATTGGATTGAATTTTTTTAGGTTAAACATATTTCAATGCTTTTTAGGTTAAACATATCTATGTATCGTAACAAACATTTATCGTACCAGACCAGATCAAATCATATCAAATAAAATCAGACTAGAAATTTCCAGTTTAGTTAAAAACATCTTTAAAGGAGTCCTCCCTAAATTTAGAACTTCATATTAGATTAGAATTTATCTCCCAAAACATACTACTCATTCTAGAGTTATTTAAAACTGTTATTTTTTATCATTTATAAAGTGAGAAATAATATTTTGAGCATTCTTTGTAATACACCACTTATGAGATATTATGAGTAATAAAAAGTACTACGTAGTACGATAGTATAAATTAACTTAAGGTATATGTACTCCAAATGTAAAACAAGTACTACATTTTTAAAATCTTATTTTTAATATTTTTTTCAATTTCAAAATATAATACTACATCTGTCCCATTTTATGTGTCTCACTTTGACTTGACACGATTATTAATGAAGTGGTTGAAAACGTAAAAATTGTAGTTGGGGTTTGAGAATAATAAAGTGAAATGGTGTAAGCTACATATTTCTTTCCAAAAGAAGAAATGAGACACTTACTTTGGGACAACCCATAAATGAAAGTAGAACAGATAAAATGGGATGTAAGGAGTACTAATTTTATCTACAAAGTCAATATGGTGTAAACAGAATTAAGTAAGAACACGATATTAAAAAAAATGATAAAGATAACTTTTTCTGAAAGCGCAAAGAAAACTTTTAAAAAGACTTTTAAACCTTTTAAAACCTTTAGAGATCAAACAAATATTCTAGGGTGCTAGAATGTGGTGAGGAGCACTTTTAGGAAAAAACTAAAAAGGGTGAATTTATCTTACATGGTTAGGTTTAGTGATTCTATAGCGTGCATAAAGCAATTTCTTATTTGGATACATAAGGCCCGTTCGATAACACTAAAATTGGTTGAATCGGATAAATTTGCTGAAATTATGAAATTATGTTTGAAGTGACTGCATAGGCTGAATTTTTGAAAAATTATATTATATTTCAAATACAATTCGTTAATTAATTTAAGAAAAAATACATTAAACAACTAGCTAAAATGGTGTTCTATAGTAACGGGCATAAAACAATTGTCCGATAAGCTGAAAACAAGGGTTGTCAAATGGGCTCATAGATTAGGGCTATGTTTGGTATTTAAAGCAGTAGATGGAAGCTAATGTCTGAATTAATGTCTATTATTTGAACTCGATCTATTGTGTGGAGTTGAATTTTGAAATGTTGCATCTAAACTGTTTGTTGAATGAGACAACATTGTTTGGCAAAAATAGCTGAAAATGCCCAGATAAAATTAAATCAAGTAAGATCAAATTAAATGACATCATACCAGAAAATTTCAGTTAAAAAAAACGAGTCCTCTAAGATCTTTAGAACTCTATATGAGATTAGAATAAATCTGTCTAAACATTATACACATTCTAATGTTCTAATATAATACCAGTACTAACAAGAGTAATAAAGATATTTATAATTAGACTATTGTTTTAGTTTAAACATATACGAATGCTTTTAAGAGTTATTTAAAAGTATTATTTTTTTATCGTTTGATAAGTGAAAATTAATATTTTGAGAATTCTTTGTAATACATATATGGTGTGATATTATGAGTAATAAAATGCTATTATAAGTTATTTTAAAGTACATATAATCCAAATGTAAAACGAGTATTGCAATTTTAAAAACTTAATTTTGATATTTTTTTTTCAATTTCAAAGTACATATTTCTAAATGCAAAACAAGTATTGCAATTTTAAAATCTTATTTTTTATTTTTGTTTTCAATTTCAAAATATATTAATATTAATATTAATAATTTGATTGTAAAAGTCAAAACGGTATAAACAGAATTAAGTAAAAATACATATTTAACAAAAAGAACTTTTAAAAAAACAGAATTTTAATGAACTAAGAAATTAAAAAAAATTGTACACCTTCCCATATGTACGTTAGAGTATTAAAAAAATGTTTAAGGTTGTTAGAATGTGATGAGAAGCACTTTTAATAAAGGAAAATTAAAATGGATAAAATTATCTTACATGGGTTATGTTTAGTAATTTTAGGGGACACATAAAGCAATTATTTATTTGATACATAGGACCTGTTTGGTAACACTGAACTTAAAAGTGCTAAATTGGAACAATTTGTTGAAATTATGAAATTCTGGCCGAAATGACTTCATTGGCTGAATCAATGAATATTATGTTTAAAATTTACGATATTTTAATTTTCTATGTCTATCTCATTGGCCGAAATGACTTCATTGGCCGAAATGAATATTATATTTAAATACACCCATTTTTAAATAAATAAATTGCAAAAAATGTGTAGTTAATTTTGAAAAAAAAATCACTAAGCCACGAATGAAATTAATGGATAAAATTAAGCATTTATGATTTTCTTTTTCTTTGTTTAGGTAAAGATGGTTGAAAAGATTAATTACATTTAAATGCAATTGGAATTGAGAGTTACGAAGTATAAAAGATGTTTTCCTCAGAAAATGAAGATTGCAAACATGTTTAGATTATTAATTCAAAAATAAGACATAATCAATAAATTAGAATATGCATTATAAACAAATGTTATAATCAATTAAATAAGTGATTTTGCATTAATAAAACTAACAAAAATCATTTTAACCCGTGCACGGCACGGGTAAAGATACTAGTTAAACATAATTTAAATAGTGTGAAGGAAGAATCATCATCCGCAAAACATAGCATCGTAAATTGAAAATGACAAAGATAATTGTTGTTGTCGTGGTAGCATTTCAGCCCAGTTGGCCTGGTCGCCCACTCACTCTCTCTTATGGGAGGTTTTGGGTTTGAAACTCAATAAGTTGAGTTTCAACCCTGATTACTCTAGACCCGCCCCCAGAACTCCATCCCATTTAAACATTACTAAATTTGTACTAGGTGTTAAATAACAAAAGCAAAACTGGTTGAGGGTAATGCAAGAGAGAGAAAATAAAACTAAACACAAATTATTTAGAAGTACTTTAAAAGAAAGTGATAAATTTACAAGACAAATTTAAAAAATGATAAAGTTTATTAGGATAGATTTAGTATTGTTTAGAATATTGTTTATAGGAAAATTTTGGTTATTTGTTTGGAAACTACTACGTCCACCTACTGAAATTGGGATAGGGACAGTTGATACACAACTCCTATTGAGAAAAGTAAAGTTGTACAATTGGGATCGGGATTCTCTGCCATTGGATTGCCGCAAGGCACCTCTGCCGCGCGGCAGAGGATCCAAATCCGTACAATTGGTATTAAATTTGGTAACTGTAAATAAAGGCTGATCTATATTATGATTATGGTGGTCTAAAAGCACAAGCATATTTAGTTAAATGCTTAGGCGTATATTTTTTCATTATCCCAATTTAACCCACTATAAGTTAAAGTTCAAAATAATATTCAGCTCAACCCATTCAATCCAACCAACCCCAAACAATGGGTTGAGTTGGACTAATCACACACAAACTTAATATTACTAGTACAAAATATTGTGCGCACTACAAAAACATACGGAGTACGATATTCAAAAGGATTTATAAGGGATTTGCCACAAGTTATTTTGCCACAAGTTATGTAGCACGAAATCATCGGGTCAATCTGTGTTTATTTTTTTTGTGTTTATTTCTTCGTGATTTCTTTTGTAGTAGCGGGACAAACTTTATTAATCAGCAGGAGAGAAAATTGTGGGAGGGAAATTAGAGTTAGAAATTGCGCCAAATTGTGCTTATTACAAATTTTGTTAAATTTGTGCAGGCAATATCAAGGGAAGCAAGAGAGTTTAAATTAGGTAAAACAAAGTACTACTTGGTAATAGTGGGGAATGCAATATTTTCACAGTTCTTTTTCGTGGGAGCCCTCGGAGTGACGTCGTACGGCTCATCTCTGCTGTCTATGGTCATCATCACCGTCCTCCTCCCCATCACGGAGCTCATGGCCGTCGTCTTCTTCCACGAGAAGTTCCAGGCCGAGAAGGGCATTTCTCTCTTTCTCTCCATCTGGGGATTTGTTTCTTACTTCTACGGAGATGTAAAGAATAACTTCAACAAAAAGAACCAGCCACCGGCGGCCCTGCAAATTACCGAAATGCCCTCTTCCATCATTTCACCGTCAAGTATTGTGACCGTTCCTTAATGTCGTAGCGCAACATAACTCGCAATCCATTCCATTGGACCGGCCGGTCGGCTTCATGGTCTGATTTATAGGCCTGTCGTCTAATACTTTAGTGGCATGACAATGGCCCTTTCCAGATGCAATGTGTACTACTTGTCACTCGAAATTCAATCTCTTGGATAGTGACATTTTGTTAGTGTAAAAAACGTGTGATGATATTCTTGACTATTGAGTATGTGAAAATAAGAAGTACGTAAGTAATGATCTATATGTGATTTAAATAAAATGGTTGATAAAAATGCGATTTAGACAAGGACCATAGATAACATGTTACTTCAATTCCTAATCTCCTATTCACAAATCGCATGACTACATTTGTAATTTTTAGTGTCTACGGTTAATTATGGATATTTCTCTTGCATTGAAATCTTCTTGCCCGAACTGATTTGGTTAAAGATATTTGTAAATTGTAATTTGATTGAAATTTTTTAATCTGGACTCGTCTGTCTTAAATCATCTAACTTGGATCGATTTGATAGATGTTTGTTATATTTGTATATTATAACTGTCAAAGTTTTGTTTGGTCTACAATAAAAAAAAAGTTTTGTCTGGTTTAGAAGCGGTTCTCTTCACCTGATCTGAATGTTTCTGATCTGAATTTTTAAAGTTCTGATCTGATCTGATCTGAATTTTTCTGATCTGATCTGATCTGATCTGAATATTTCTGATCTGATCTAAATGTTCCTGATCTGATCTGAATGTTCTTGATCTGATCTGAATGTTCCTGATCTGATCTGAATGTTTCTGATCTGATCTGAATTCTTCTGATCTGATCTGAATCTTTCTGATCTGATCTGATTTGAATATTTCTAAAATTATAATTACAATTATAATTACTATAATTATAAATGTAATTACACATATATAATTTAAATATAATTATAATTATAATCATAATTATAAAAATTATAATTACAATTACAAACATATTTATAATAGGTATAATTATTATTATACGTATTACACGAGTTATAAATATAGTTATAATTACAATTGTAATTATATTTATAGTTATATTTATTTCTATAATTATAATTTTAATTATAATTATAATATTTATTTCTATAATTTTTAATTGTAATTACTCCGTATAATATGATAATAACGAAAACAAAACTAATAACAATAACAACAACAACCATATTAGTAGTAAGAATAATAATAATCATGATAATAATAAATATCATCATCATAATAATAATAATAGTAATGATGATGATGATGATTATAATAATAATAATAATAATAATAATAATAATAATAATGATAATAATAATGATAATAATAATGATAATAATAATAATAATAATAATAATAATAATAATAATAATAATAATAATAATAATAATAATAATAATAATAATAATAATAATAATAATAATAATAATAATAATAATAATAATAATAATAATAATAATAATAATAATAATAATAATAATAATAATAATAATAATAATAATAATAATAATAATAATAATAATAATAATAATAATAATAATAATAATAATAATAATAATAATAATAATAATAATAATAATAATAATAATAATAATAATGATAATAATAATGATAATAATAATGATAATAATAATAATAATAATAATAATAATAATAATAATAATAATAATAATAATAATAATAATAATAATAATAATAATAATAATAATAATAATAATAATAATAATAATAATAATAATAATAATAATAATAATAATAATAATAATAATAATAATAATAATAATAATAATAATAATAATAATAATAATAATAATAATAATAATAATAATAATAATAATAATAATAATAATAATAATAATAATAATAATAATAATAATAATAATAATAATAATAATAATAATAATAATAATAATAATAATAATAATAATAATAATAATAATAATAATAATAATAATAATAATAATAATAATAATAATAATAATAATAATAATAATAATAATAATAATAATAATAATAATAATAATAATAATAATAATAATAATAATAATAATAATAATAATAATAATAATAATAATAATAATAATAATAATAATAATAATAATAATAATAATAATAATAATAATAATAATAATAATAATAATAATAATAATAATAATAATAATAATAATAATAATAATAATAATAATAATAATAATAATAATAATAATAATAATAACAATAATAATAAGAATAAGAATGATAATAATACTAATAATAATATCAATAATAATATTAATTATAATAATTACAATAACAACAACAAGAATAATAATTATAATTATTATAATTATTATAAATATTATTATAATTATTATTATAATAAAAAGGATAAATCATGTCTGAACTTTTCTGATCTGATCTGAATGTTCCTGATCTGATCTGAATGTTCCTGATCTGATCTGAATGTTCCTGATCTGATCTGAATGTTTCTGATCTGATCTGAATAATTCTGATCTGATCTGAATCTTTCTGATCTCATCTGATCTGATCTGATCTGAATTTTTCTGATCTAATCTGATCTGATCTGAATAAAATAAGAATAAGCAATAAGTAATAAGATTAAGACGAACTGAACAACTTCTTAGTGTGATATGTTCGAGTTTGATTTGATTTGGACTAGTCTAAGACTAAAACACGAATAGTTAAAAACAACCTAAGTCTAATCTACAATGTCGAGTTTGAACTGGTTTGGTCTAGCATATGTGTATTTTGTGTTATATAAGCCTATCTGATTTGATTCGGTGTAATCTAGTCTAATCTTACCAGTATAGTCTGATTTGATATAAAATTGAAACAATCTAAAGTAACCGTTTATAATCACCATTAGTCGCATATTTTAATAAATGTATTAAAATAATAATTGGATGATGTTTTTAATTATGAATTCGAATTAATAATCATGACCAAATATTTTAATGGGATGATGTTTTAGGGCAAAAAATTACTCTACATGTTTAACCAAATTGTGACGTATTGACGTAATACTTGTTTTTCCAATAACCCACTACCCATCATATATCTTCGATAGTTAGGGTTTTTTACAAGAATATTACTAAAATAAAACATATTTACATAAATATGACTATTCATTACTACAATGTGATATTGTAGTAACTTAAACTCAAAACTTGAACATGAATTACTATTATTTCATTACTACTCTAGTCAATAATCATATTTTTGTAAATCATCCTTATTTTGGTCATATTTATGTAATTTTAGTTATACATGTACTGCAAATCTTATGTTTATGTTTTTCACGTTTGTATGATAGTATTATTGATAATATCTACTCATATATAAGTGCAATAAAACAGATGCATTTATATGGCTGGGTAGTACTATTCCCAATGTGCATTCTTTCCTATTTCGTGACTTCATACAGAAAATATCCTAGTATATGTACGAGAATATATCAACTAAAATAATGATGATCGACTAAAATATATCAACAAGTGGAAAGTAGCAAGGTCAAGTCCTTTTTATTCTTAAATTTAATCCCATAAAACTCGTTCATCTTCGTGTTTAAATTTAATTAAATCACTCAACAATCAAAACCCACATTTATTTACTCCTTTCGTTAAAAAAATAAATTATTCCTTTCCCTGTGGATACGAACTCTACTTCACCTATACTACGTATAAGTGTTAGTATCGATTTATTTTGAGTGCACACACGACAAAGTGCACGTCAAATTTGGCGCCGTTGCCAGGGAGAGGCAATTAATTTTTCTTTTTATTTCATTTAAAAGAATAAGAAAAAAAATAGATCGAATATAAAGATTTCTATTTCTTCTGAGCTTTGTAGTACATGGTAAAATATCGTTCACTGAACGAAATCACCTACCACTCAAACCCCGAAATAGAACGAACTCTCGAGCGGTTGAAAAACAAATTCTCAAACTCCGACTCAGGAGAATCATCAAGTGCTAGTTCTCAATCTAGCGAGACCGAAGAGCCAATCACCATGACTCATGAAACGAGGACATTAAGGGAGCTCACGGCTCCGAATCTAAATCAATATTACCTCGTTTGACAATCACTATTACTTTTCCAACTCTTGATACGGGGGTCACATTTGAGCTAAAATCTGGGCTCATTCATCTACTTCCCTCTTTCCATGGTCTACGGGGGGAAGACCCAAACAAACACCTTTCGGAGTTCCATATTGTGTGCACAAGCATGTGCCCCAATGGCGTGTCCGAGGAGCAAATAAAGCTGAGAGCTTTTCCGTTTTCTCTTAAAGACACCGCGAAGGACTGGCTATTCTATCTTCCTTCGGGGAGTATCACTACATGGGCTCAAATGAAAAAAGCTTTCCTCGAAAGGTATTATCCCGCATCTATCTCTTCAAGTCTCAAGAAGAAAATTAGCAACATTGAGCAAGCAGATGATGAGACCTTGTACGAATATTGGGAGCGCTTCAAAAAATTATGCGCTAGTTGCCCATATCATGGATATTCGGAACAAGATCTCATCCTCTACTTCTATGATGGGCTGGTTGATCAAGATAGACGCATGGTGAATGCGACATGCGGAGGGGGTATTGTTAACAAAACCCCTTCCCAAGCAAGAGACCTCATTTCGGAGTTAGCCGAAAACTCGAGGCACTACAATGGGAGGTCATCATCAAAAAGAGTTGTGGTAGCGGAATCCAACAACTCGTTGGAAAGTCAAGTGGCCAGCTTGACTTCTTTGGTTAAAGATTTTCTTTTGAATCCAAAAACCCAAGAAGTCAAGGTCTGCGGCATATGCTCGACACAAGGGCATCCCACCGACTCTTGCCCAACACTTCAAGAGGAGAACCCCGAGCAAGTCAATGCTTTGGGTTTCCAAGGCCAAAGGAGGTATGATCCTCATGGCAACACCTACAATCCGGGATGGAGAGATCATCCCAACTTAAGGTACGAAAACTCTCAACCTCCTCAACAATCAAACCCTCCCCCTCAACAATATAAACAACAAGGTCAAACATCGAACTCGAGCATGTCCACCGAAGACATGATTCGATCACTTGCCATGAACATGGCTACGATGCAACAAAGTGTGACCCAATTCCAAGAAACGACCAAATCAAGCATCCACAATTTGGAAAGCCAAATGAGCCAAATCTCAAATGCCATGAGTAGGCTTGAAGCTAAGGATTCGGCAAAACTCCCATCTCAAACGGAGCCGAATCCAAGGCAACAAGCTCACGTGGTCACTTTGAGAAGCGGCAAGGAATTGGTTATGGTGACGTGCACTTTGTCGTGAGTGCACTCAAAATAAATTCAATACTAACACTTATACGTAGTATAGGTGAAGTAGAGTTCGTATCCACAGGGAAAGGAATAATTTATCTTTTTAACGAAAGGAGTAAATAAAGGGGGGGTTTTGGGTTGAA